GTGAACCGGGTTGCACGTCGCAACAATTATTGATACCATGTGGTTATATTGAGTATTGTTTTCCTTGTTCATTGTGAATCTAAGCTGCTTTAGTTTGTTACTTGGAATTAGTGTTACTATTGTTATCTCCCCACAGCATGTTTCCCCCTCCCATATTGCTAGTTGTTTGGTATTTTGTTTCCGTTGTATATTTATAACTGTACAGGTTTATGTGGTGTCCGGTCTAGCCTTGTCACTACTTCGCCGGGGTTAGGCTAGACACTTACCAGCACATGGGGTCGGTTGTGCTGATGCTACGCTTCTGTGCATTTTTGCACAGGTCCAGGTTTTGAGGAGCAGCAACAGCATTAGTACGGGAGCAGGCTTTCATTATCACGAGACCGAGGTAGCCTTGCAGGCGTCCGCAGGCCCGGCGTCTCTTATTTATGTTCTCTTTTAGACTGTTGCCTCCTTGTCTCGAGACAGACAACTTTTATGTTTCTTTCAGACCTTTGTATTTACTATATTCTTAGTGGTTCGTGAGTGATGTGACACCAAATCTTGGGTAGAGGCTATTATTAACTGTTCCGCGTTTTGATTCAGATTTATAAATCAGACTTCCGCTATTATTCTTAGTAAATTTCATGTTCTATATTGATGCTATAAATTGTTAAAATAATTGTTTAGTGATGAAAAGGTAAATAAGTTGGCTTGCCTAGCTACCACGAGTAGGCGCCATCACGATCCCGATGGCAGGAAATCTGGGTCGTGACAAGTTGGTATCAGAGCACTAGGTTACATAGGTCTCACAACTCACGGACAAACTTAGTAGAGTCTGAGGGGTCGGTACAGAGACGTCTGTACTCGCTCCCCAGGGGCTACTGAGTTACGAAAAATCTCTCATTTGTTCTTTCTTGTCGTGCGATTTGGTTTCTCAATGCTGATTGAGTTTCTACTCTGTTCTTTCGTAGATGGCGAGAACACGCGCTTCCTCATCCACCGATCAGCAGTCCGAGCCCCAAGCAACTCCCGCTAGGGGCAGGGGACGTGGCCATGCTAGGGGCCTAGGTAGGGGCAGAGCCCAGCCACCAGTAGCAACACCAGTGGCGGAGCATCAGGTTGACCTTGGCGAGGAGGTTTCGGCCCCAGCCCAGACAGTTTCGGCGGGCCCAGCGTAGGTCCTAGAGGGGTTTATTGCTACCCCAGTTCTTCAGGACGCCTTGGTCCGGTTGGTTGGCCTCATGGAGAGTGTCACCCGAGCAGGATTGCTTCCTGTAGCACCAGCCACTTCCCAGGCTGGAGGAGGAGCCCAGACTCCTGCTGCACGTACTCCGGAGCAGGTAGCTCCCCAGCCTCAGATTCCACCGGGTCAGCCAGCTGCGGCAGTTCAGCCGGAGGTAGTTGCACAGGCCGGTGATGGAGCGGCTATGTCCGCAGATGCTTTGTGGAGGCTGGACAGGTTCACCAAGCTCTTCACTGCTACATTCAGCGGAGCTTCTTCTGAGGACCCCTAGGATTTCTTATATAGCTGCCACAAGGTTCTTCGGAACATGGGCATTGTGGAGTCCAATAGAGTTGATTTTGCGGCTTTTCGTCTATCTGGATCCGCCAAGACTTGGTAGAGGGATTACTGTTTAGCCAGACCAACAGGGTCGCCGCCTTTGACTTGGGATCAGTTTTCAGAGTTGTTTCTAGAAAAGTTTCTTCCCGTTACTCAGAGGGATGCTTACCGGAGACAGTTTGAGCGTCTCCAGTAGGGGTCTATGACGGTCACTCAGTATGAGACCTGGTTTATCGATCTAGCTCGCCATGCCCTCGTCATACNATTTTTGTCAAATATTTGCTTAGTTTTTTTATGCCTCTTAATCGTGACTGTTGTTTGGGAGTCAGACTGTTAAATGATGTGGATCGGGTTGCGCGCCGCAACAAAGATATTGAGGATCGGGTTGCACGCCGCAATAATAATATGTGAGGATCGGGTTGCGCGCCGCAATAATGATACATGATAAATGATGTGGGTCGGGTTGCACGCCGCAACAGTGGTATTTGTGGATCGGGTTGCACGCCTCAACAGTGGTATTTGTGGATCGGGTTGCACGCCGCAACAATGGTAAATTGTGGACCGGGTTGCACGCCGCAACAATTATTGATACCATGTGTTTATATTGAGTATTGTTTTCCTTGTTCATTGTGTATCTAAGCTGCTTTAGTTTGTTACTCTGAATTACTGTTACTATTGTTATCTCCCCACAGCATGTTTCCCCCTCCCATATTGCTAGTTGTTTGGTATTTTATTTCCGTTGTATATTTATAACTGCACAGGTTTATGTGGTGTCCGGTCTAGCGTCGTCACTACTTCGCCGGGGTTAGGCTAGACACTTACCAGCACATGGGGTCGGTTGTGCTGATGCTACGCTTCTGTGCATTTTTGCACAGGTCCAGGTTCTGAGGAGCAGCAGCAGCATTAGTACGGGAGCAGGCTTTCATTATCACGAGACCGAGGTAGCCTTGCAGGCGTCCGCAGGCCCGGCGTCTCTTCTTTATGTTCTCTTTTAGACTGTTGCCTCCTTGTCTCGAGACAGACAGCTTCTATGTTTCTTTTAGACCTTTGTATTTAGTATATTCTTAGTGGTTCGTGAGTGATGTGACACCAGATCTTGGGTAGAGACTATTATTAATTGTTCCGCGTTTTAATTCAGATTTATAAATCAGACTTCCGCTATTATTCTTAGTAAATTTCATGTTCTATATTGATGCTATAAATTGTTAAAATAATTGTTTAGTGATGAAAAGGTAAATAAGTTGGCTTGCCTAGCTACCACGAGTAGGCGCCATCACGATCCCGACGGTGGGAAATCCGGGTCGTGACATAGGGTTACTTGGTGGCTAATCCACCCAAACCCTAATTTATGCTGATAAATAAGGCTACATATGTCCTTCAAAGACGATCTCAGCAATTCCATAAACTCTCGGAATATGCACAAAAAGATCAAATATGCGATTTTCGAAATTCCACGAAACTCTTGGAATATTCACTAAGAGATCAAAGAGATGTCAAATATGTCTTGCTAAAAGTCCTACGTTCGAGAAATACGCCGCTAAGGCCCTCGAATTACAGGTAACAAATCGGAGGGAAGAATCAAGGGATAAAAACTGCAATCTTTATCAATAAAATCCTTTTTTCTTCATAGTTGTTTGTGATTGCAGTTTTATTTTTCTGCACAAATTTGTTGCAAACAACTACTAACTAACCGAACTGCAGACCATAGGAATTTTATGATATTCTTTCTTTGAACAGGAATGTTTTAGACAATAAACTAGCAGGGACTGTCCATCGTGCTAACCAAACAGGTATAAATACAGAGCCAATTGTACATTTTTTGAGATTACTACAACTGACGGTTTATATATGTAGCTTGGAAATGAGAGGGTGTAATTATCTTATGTAGGATTTGCAATTGTTCAAGATGTCAAGGCCTAGATCAACGTTTTGGAATTGGATTGTCCTAGCGACGTTTGCACTTTTATGGATTTCGGATTTGTGATTGGAATACTTGAGAAAAATAATAATACTCCGTAATAATTATGATTACATTACTCGTATTGTGTTTTTTGTATCTTGTATTTGACTTGATTGATTGAAATTCCCAAGTCTCAAGGGTTACACCGAAACTACATATTTGCCTCAATTTCAGAGTTAGCTGGAGAAAGAAACGTTTACTAGCTATTGGCCGAATTCAAATTCTTTGGCATTTCTACCGAGAGAAATTTTCCAAGTCTTCAACCTGTTACCTACATGATATCTATGATTATGTCATGAATCTTGACATATAGTTGAGAAATTCCATTGAAGGCAAAGATCCAATCTTGTTCCAAAGACAGACATTAGAGATAGCACAAGTACACAAGTCTTGAAAGGGGCAAGAGAATTCAATTAAAGAAACATTAGCTCGCGAAATGATCACTATATTAATTATTATACCCTTTTTATCTGCTGGTTAAAATAATATTAAACGTCTGCAAGTGGACAGTAAGTATAGCCCAATGTTGGACTTCATCAATTTTCCTCAAGTTCGAACACTCGTGACTTGTTATTTATCTACTTTGTTTTTAAAATTAGATTCATTTGTTTGTAAGTTAAGGACATAATGTTTTGGTAATATAAGTGCGATTCTGACACTATGTTGCAGAAAAGAAAAAAAACTGCTAGCCCCAATGGTTTTAAACTTCAATGAGCTTCAAGTCTTAAACAATAAACAAGCAGAAAAAAAAAAAAAAAAAAATGTCTCATTCATACAAAAACGATCCAATACCATCGTAGAGCAAACACCCAAAATAAGATATGATCAAAACAAACAAGCTCATATTCTGTGTTTTTTTTCTTTTCATGCATTCACATTAGCCTACAGACTTGAGATCAGGTTACAGTGTTGTATGGCAAACAAACACGCTGTTCAAAACTTGAATGAAGAATCAAGATGCAGACATCAGAGAGAACTGTGAGATATTCAGAGAAGAAATTTGTTTCTCTATTGCAAATTTCACTAACTCAAGCAATCTAATTGTGCCCTTTATACTACTGACTAACTAACATTTTTCTCCTAACTAATCTGTTCTAACCAAGTAATTCATTTAGTAACAACACCCCTAAAATATCTTCAGCTGTACAAGCACATCTTGTACTTCAAGCTGCACAATTTGTACTTTCAACACATGCAACGAAATATAACTACTTCCTCAAACTTCTAGATGTTAAGGAACTACCATATCTCATGATAAATACTACAGAAACTTATAACAACAGTGTGAATCTACAACTATCTCATCGATGCATAATTTTAAATCAGCATCTTCCTTCTGAAGTGAGCATCAAATCAATCTATTTACTTTCAATATGCTTGAACAGCTCACTTGTGTTACATTAAGCTCCAAAAAAAGTGAGTTCTAAATGTTCTACTTCTCTCACAAAAGTTATTAGCATATGTCAGTTTAACTGTAATTATCCGCTAACTACCAAGAAGTAAACGAAAATGCATGCTTTCCATGGACTTTGATATTCTCCATAATTTTGTACTCCTTTCTCCCTACGGATAGGTTACTTTTGGGGTATTTACAGAAAGATTTTAATATAGAACTACCTAAGCCACTTGTTGTGGTCTTATAGAAGCTTTAAATAGTTACAAGGTGAAGAAACCTGCATCTAATGAGAAAAGCAAAATAGATATACTTACGGCAAAAACAAAAATGCCACTATATGTCAGAAGCAATACAAGACTCAATTGCTGTACACATTAGGATACCCTAGCAAAATGTTGCCTTTCACCCTAACTGAGTTGCACTGATAGAACAATTAAGCTCCTCTGGGAAGTCAGAAAATCACTGGTTACCTCTCATAGTAACACCTTTAATTTGACTAGCTAGTTTGGAGGCTATGAAGCAGGGGGAGAATGCTGGATGTTCCCGTAGTAACACCTTTAATTTGACTAGCTAGTTTGGAGGCTATGAAGCAGGGGGAGAATGCTGGATGTTCCCGAAGGCTATTGGCGTTAAAGGAGGTGAAGCCATATCTTCCAGTGGCTTAGAAACATGGAAAGCTGTTTCTATCTGACCCCTAGATGGTATGGAGTAACTACGAGGAAGAGCTGGAGGCGTTGGTAGTGTAGAAGCAGCTGAAGACACTGCCACTTTATTTGTGGAAGAAAGTTCCTGGACTTTTGACACCAAAGGTCCTGAATGAGCAATCTGACGTGGGGGTCTTTTGGAGGCTAAATTAGCTGGTGGTCTAGGTAGTTCATGTAACTCACTTATTTTAGGTGATGACATGAGAGGAGGAGAAGTACGTGAAGATAATTTAGGGGCCGATGAAGGTTCAGGCGTTGAAGTATGCAAGAAAGGCAGAGAAAAATGCTGAGGGTATCCAGTTGAAGCAATTGGACTACCAGCAGAAACAGCAGGCTTCTTTGGCCACGGCTTCGCAGTCAAAGGACCAGAAAAAGCTTGTCTCTTGACCTTTTTAGCATTGGACCAATCATGCTGCAAAGATGAGAGGCCTTCTGACAGTGGAGGGGGCAACGGACCAGATTTTGCATAATTATTGCTCTCTGTGAGAACTGATTGTGTATTCGAGGTGATAGGTCCAGATAACTTCTCATCTGCCACAAGCTTTTCATGTTTGAACTGATCCAAAGGGGACGAATGCCATGAGTGAAGTACAGTAGCAGTCTGGCCAGTTCGCCTTGTTTGAGGGTGTACGCTATATGATTTTACTGAATCTGTAGTTTTTGCCTCAACTGGTGTGGGTAAAACATACGGTTGAAACTTGTTTGAGAGTGACGAAGTCATTCGTGTGGCACCCCCCTCAGCAGGATCTTGTTTCCTCCCAGACAAAAGTGGTGCTGACTTGGTGCTGTTAACATCCCTGAAGAAGGAAAAAGAGTTTCCACCATAACTCTTATTGAGATTTTCCTATAAAAACCGACAGAAGAATATTATTAATCTCCAGAAAGTGACAGGTTGGCTTCAGCTTCAGCAATCTCATATGACAGGAGAAACCATAATAAATCAAAGTGAGAAAGACAGAATTCGTCATTTGTTTTTATCAAAAAGATGAAGGCCCCAATTCATTTTTTGATAAAGATGAAAGAGAATAGATCGATGCAGAGCTCCAAGAAAGGATATGATCTGATAAAGGAGGTCAGTGAAGATGAAGTATAGTACCTTTGATGCACCCTTTGTAGCAGCTTCAGGAACTGTAACATCCACCTTATCCAACTGCATAAACGTCATGTTGTCAACAACCACTTCATCTTGAAAGTATTGCACGGTGCATGTATCATTATAGTAACTAAATGTAAAATAAATGATTCAACGAGGATAGTATACAAGCAGACGATACAAACAATGAGCTACTGTACAGAATCAAGAATAGTCTTAATTCATCGCATCAACAACAGTGTCTTTGAGGTTTAATCCTGGTACGGCTTCAGTTGATATGAGCAATGTACATAAAAGAGGCTCTCCACAAATTGATTTCAAGATATGATCGAGAGCTAGCAACAAGAATCAAACATTCTACATGTCGAATGATTATTGGTCGTTTCCAACCTCACTACCTCCATCCCATTCCAAAAAATGTATAATCTACTCTAGGAATTTTATTTATTTATTAAAAAATGCAATACTGCATCAATATCACTACAGCACACTAATTTCTTGAACTAAAATATTATTTGAAAACCCTTTAAAAGTTTACAGTCAAATGGAATGTTATTGAAGATCAAAATTCAAATAAGGTTTAACAAAATGTGATGAAGGTAATCTATCCAGACAGAAACCAACAAGATTTCTTCCTCCTATGGATCTTAAAATTACTTATGATACAGCAATTAATATGATCACTCACCTGCAAGGGTATAATCAATTTTCTCCCCCTCTCAGACAGACAAGTACACAGATCATCCACAGTTCATAACTACCACTATTAAAATAAAGAGAACAATTTCATGAAGTTCCACATCAATTCCAAAAAAGGACAAAAACATACCTCCATTAAATGGGTTGATGGATTAACCTGGTCATTCTGTCCATAGTCAAAACTCAGTTCACCATCATCAAGTGATTCAGATCCGTCATCAGAGTCATCGTCGTAATCATTTTCATCATCATCCTCATTGCCAGCATCATCTCCATCATCTTCTTCAAGCCCATGGAAGTGATAATCAATATGATGCAGTTCCGTCACCAATTTGACATGTGGCTCAATCTCCTCAAGAGACTTGACGGCTTTCTTGAAGAAAGACAACTGATTAAACAAACAAGCCAAAGCTCATGAACAACCACCCTAAATAAGGGGCAAGCATATGCTTTGATTCACTATGAAACTCAAGGGATTTCATTAACATCAAAGGAGAAAAGAACCTGAGCAGCATGGTGTCGAGCTGCCTGTGTTAAAAGGCTGCGGGATTGTCCTTGCTTGAGGGACTTCATACGGAATACAAAAACAGTGGCCCCCTCATCATATTCTTCATAAGCTACTTTCAGCTGGTGAGATGAAATACATTCTCCTTTAGTGCCTTTTATCCTGCCTTTATCTCTGTATTTTTGCACCGTCTGCTCATAAACTTCTCTGAAGAAGAAGAGAGAGTGAGAAGACACTCACATAGAGAAAGGCTAAACATACGATTAAAAGTGATCTAGTTTTACCTCTTGTTATCACATTGCAGCTTCATCTCCTTCACAAAGAGGGGAAAAATCATCAACAGTCAAAGTTTGGAAGACTTTTAAGCGTAAGAAAATGCAACAATATCTGTTCAACAGATAAATTATGTTTCTAATTGTGAAAGCCTAATCCCAGTAGTTACTATCTACCATCAAAGGGAAGACAAAATGATAATTTAGCCTTGTGAATTTTGGTAATCATCAGGCTCCCTAATCTTCATATTGCAGAAAACATGCATTCAGAGTAGAAGTCTGTATAAGTAGCAAGAGTTTTGCACTTTGTTTTCATCTAGTAAAACAAAATTTCCATAAAACAGGTACCCGAAGTCAGACAAGCAAAAGTACCAAGACAATTGGGAGGTGCGGCAAACTAGAAACAAAGCACCATACACTTTTTCCTTTTCTAAGAAGAATAATACATTGTCAGCCAATAACACAATCTGCAGGTGTAGCCCATAGCTAGAGTTGCTTTATCCAAATGACTAACCTCAACTATGCGCAGTTCATTGAGAAGGGATTCTGAGGGGACTGCGATTGTCCTGATAATATGTGACCGCTGATAAGAGAACACAAATACTCATCAAAATAGGGTACTTTTAAGAACTTTAAAAAAAATCAACCCAACTTAAGCACTCACATAGTTATCTACAAGTCTCTGAAGCTGAAACTGCATTTTACCCAGCATTAGCAATACCTTACCTGTTCATATGAAACAAGCTCAATTTTAACAATCCAAGTTGAAAAAAGAAAAAAGAAGAGGAAGGGGGGGGGGGGGGGGGGTTAAGGAGAATTGCAGCTGAGACATCATAGAACTTTTGTTATGGGGTATTTTATTTGATAACTATTTATTAATGTTGTAGATCTAATTCAAATAAGTAAGAGACCCCTGTCTAATAGTTTATGCTTTAGACGAGGCGATTTAACAATTCAACATGGTACTGATGCATGCAACAAGTCTATGTTCAAGTTTCAGCAACATCCATAATAAAGAGATGCTTCAATTGTTCAATGTGCTTGGACTAAGGAAAAGAATTACAACCACATGTGAAGGATTGTCTTCATAACATAAATAAATAAAAGTGTCCTCTCTATAACAGCTTAAAATTTAGTTGAGTTATGCTTCTAAAATAATATTAGTTGAGTTGGTCATACAATTGATCATAAACATAATAATGCTTCATACTCACCGCTTTCTTCATCATCATTCAGTGCTGTTTTCTCAAGAAGACAATCGCCCATTTCTCGCAATGATTCGGAAAATTCTGAAAATAGACTATCTCAATTAAATACAATTTAACCAAAAAGTTATCAAAATCCAATTGGTAAGAAACAAATTGAAAGCCGAGGATAATCCTTGCTAATTAATTATAAACACATCTGCATGCGCACTAAGCTACAATAAACATGGATATTGCGTTAAACCAGTAAAGTTCCATGTGTAAAACACATTAAAATGTTAATGTGATAACTGATGGAAGTACACAGAACTGAGCTTCTTAAGCTAACTTGTTTTCTTTTGACAGCCCAAAAAATAAAATATGCATTCAAGCTTGCAAGTATAATCCGTTTTTTGAAAAGTTCAACCAAGCAAGATTAAAATTAGATTGGTTTGATGGATAAAACGGCATTTAGTTAGGCTTCCCTTTGCTAAGTTATTTCATAATTTTTCAGGGCCATGCAGTAACTCATTAGCCATTCAAGTCTTCAATTTCTTATATGTAATCCTTTTGCTTCTTTATTTGACTCATCAAAACCTGTGTTAACTAATAACTCCTTTTTTTATAAGTAACTTTGTTAACCAATAACTCTTTTCTAATTTGGCTGAATGAGTTGCAATAACATTTCAAGGAGCGCCGAAGCGGAAGATGAGGTCACCAATGTGTTCCACTGGAGCTAAATGCTTGAACTTATCACAGATGCAAAATGAAACATACGTCTCTGCTTGGAGTATTTTATGTTTACAGCAGCTATATCTGGGTCATATAAAGAGGTGAAAAATAGTAAGGCATAAGTATGCTTCTAGACCATCAATTATTCCCAAAATTTCTATTTAGTTCTGCTGATTTCACAAAGTTAACAGACTTTTTAACAGCTAAAGCGGACACACCTGTTATGCTAAGTGTAGGTATATTGATACTTATACTCCACTTAGTCCAACACATGGGTAGTCACAAGATTTAACAGTTAAAATATCACCAAGTTTGTGGGAATTCGTGATTGGTGAGATCAAAAGCATACATTTCTATCAGTTGAGTGTTAATTTTGTCTAGTCAATTCATTAACAAACTGAGCTTAGTCAAACATCACAAGGACCAGAATTGGAGTTTGTCAAATGTGAGGAACCAAAAGTGCAACTATCCCAAAAAGCTACAAGAAGTACCAAAGAGAACATCATTATTAACAAGAAGAACATTGACTAACTTTATTCCTTTTAAAAGAGTCATAATATAGATCAATCACGTAAGGGGAGAAATTCTCAAAGGCCTCTTATCAAAAAGAAAGGGCAGGGACCATTGTCATGTAATATGACCACCACAATGTTTAAAGATAATGTACAAATGATGGAAATATGCACGCTGACATAGACAACAACATCATAGTTAAGTGGAGAAGGGTAGAGGGTTGGCCCATTATCCATCAAGTTTCGGACTATGTGCCAACTAGCTATTTCGGGGATTTCTTGATTATCAAAAAAATATGAAAATATTCATGAAAGGTACTACAAGTTGAAGCTACTTCAAGAAGATAATTCAGATACTATCTGATAGTAAAGTTACTCCAAAAGATAACACGCACTAGTCAGAAGCTGGAGGGAAGAAAATGGCGATAAATTACCATATGCACCATTTGCAGTTGCAGCAGCTGCAGAAAGTAACCTATCGTAGCAATCTTTCATTTCTTCCATATCCTAAGAGAAGAAAGCAGCTGTTAAAAACTAAACTATAATAAATTTTAACTAAAAAATTTGACAAGATACTTCTCATAGCTCTCAAGTCTCATCTATAGATAACTAAAGTGAAGATCTTTGATAAATAAGTGAAGATTAGAACTAGGGGTTACGACACCAAATATTTATAGTTGATTCCCGAGTCAGATGACCTACAAACAGTGATGGCATTTAGAAGGAGACCCCAAGTGGTAGAGAATGAAGGTTCTACTTACATCCCAACATTCAGTACAACATACAATGTTTTCTTATAGTGTCTGCTAAAAGCCTAAAACAATTCACAACATTGTGGCATGTGATGAACATTAATTCATTACTTCTTGAGAGTTAACTATGAGAATAGGACCTACACATGCCCAAGTTTATACCCCCTCAGATTACTGCACTCAGAACCTTGTTTTAAGCTAGACTAGCAACACATACCGGGGCTCAAAATTAATTATTTTAATGCAAAAGTATTAGTATGTTATCTTTTATTCGTAGATTGTTATTACTACCTAGCGTATAATTGTTATCTTGGCTTCGCCGCTTCGGTCTTCTCCTTTTATCTTGTTGTTGTTACTACTTACTGCCTTCACTTCCTTTCATTCTTTTTTCAGCTGATGGTCTATCGGAAACAGCCTCTCTGCCCTTCCAGATAGGGGTAAGGCTGCGTATATTTTATCCTCCCTAGACCTCACTTGTGGGAACTCACTGGGTTTGGGATTGTTATTATTGACTGTTGTTGTAATGCAAACAAAAGGTAACATTCTTTTATGTTAGCAGGGTCTCCCATATTCTTATATGTATATAGTAGCCTAGAAGAGAAGATTATTACTACAAGAACAATTTGTTCACAGAAAAATTATGAAGAAGCAAAGTCACGACAGACATTTTTAATAACAATGGTGTCAGGGCTAGCCTCAGCAAACCTTAACTAATCCACGGGTACCTACTGCTTCCAACCAACATGGGTACCCGTCTACCCTGTAACTCTCTACACTAAGATCTAGGTAAATGGGAAGAACACACTTCGTTTCGAAACAAACGTTTCCTTATAGCACAAACCTGAATCTCAATTGTGAAGTTCGTGTTCCAAATAATGCCTCAATTAGAACAACATACCTTAGCACATCATCAATTAATCAACGTTCTGATAACAAACCAATCAATTAATCAACTGCAACTCACTTCCAAACTAGTTGGAGTCTGTTATATATAAATCTTAGATATTTGAGGTGGCTAGAGTTACCCGGTACCTATACTTGTTCGATAGCAGATAGCAGGTACCCACGGAATAGTCGAGGTATCCTCAAACTGTTCGGACACAACCATCATAAAAAAAATCCTCCAAATTCAATCATTTCTGTTCGAACCCACATCATTCAACAAGAAAACTAGTGGGGTTGACTATATTAATCCTCATTTTTTCAATGCATCTGGGATTTATTAACCAAAATCAATAATCAATTCAGGGAAAATAAATACATAAAGAAATAAAGGGGAAAAAACCTGAGCAGCCAAAGCGAGCTCGTCAGATGGCTGGCGAAGCCTCCGTTCTTTTTTATCATGTCGAAGATTAGCCAATCCTCGTAATTTCTTCAGCGATGTCTTCATATTTTTTCTTTTCGCTCTATAGATTGATAGAGAGAAAACCAAGTGTTGTGGAACCAAATAATATAAACATGTAGATGCAAAAAGGAAAGACGTGTTGAATAAATTGTTGTGAAAATGGAAAAAAACCTAAATGGGAGAGAGAGGGAGAGACAGAGAGCGTGTCACAAATTGGTCAAAATCAACAATGAACGACTTCTTTTTGTAAGTATATGGTTTTTGTGGTTTACGTCAAAAGCGGTTTTGGAAAATTTTGAATATCATCGGAATATCACTCTCCTTTTATTTTTAATATATTTTATAACATTGTTGTTCAAATTAAATTTATTCTTTTGGACATTTGCCATATTATATTAATTAATGTAGGTATTGGTAACTTTATCCGCCAAAAATGCTTTCTTTGTTTTTATTTTATATATACTAGACAATAATTGACTAAACAAAAATTTGGACTTTTGAGACATAAAAATATAGAAAAAAGTATCAGCATTATTTTAATTATTAATAATTACTCACTCCGTCCTATTTTATATGATGCAATCAAAATAGTAAAAAATAACAACACTTTTAAAATTTATTGTCTAAAGCAAAACATAAGTATTAGCTTGAATCGATTATTTCGATGAGAGTAAATTAAAAATCTAAAGTAAAATTATTTTCAATATATATATATATATATATTTTAGGATAGACTAAAAATGAAAATGCATACATAAATTGAGACACATTGAGTAATATGAAAACGGTAAAAGTTTCGTATGTCACTTCGAATTCTGTCTTTTAGAAAAATCAGTTTCTGTCTTTTTCTAATGGTAGAAATAGGTTTCTGTGTTTGATATTTAAAACACATAGAGAATGGAAAATGAGTATAATGATTAATTATGTAAGAGAGAACAACCAAGAAGGTTGACTATTCCTTTTATGGTCAGTGGTCCATTAATGAGTTTGGTTTCCAATTTGTTTCTTGCTTTTTAAGGTCTTTCTTTTACTCCTTTTCTTTATTTAAAAAAAAAAAAAACTTTGTAATGTCTTGACCAGTCCAACTTTTTCGAGGAAACAAAATATAAATTCAAGGAACATTTCATAGATAACGTAATTAGAGGGGTTGACAATTCGGGAAGTAATGACTAATAGATGTGCGATGGAAATTAAGAAGGAATCCAACTAAGTTGCCATAAGTAAGCGTTTATTAAATTCAAAGTTATAATAACTATAATTTGAGTCTCCTGAAAAATACTGCAATGTACTTCACTAAAGTTTATATCAAATTGTTCGAGATTGCCGATACAAAATTGAACTTCAATTTTAAGATGAAAGAGTAGGAAGTACTCTTTAGGAAACGATAAATTATTTCTTTTCATCCGTCTCAATTTTGGTAGAAAAATTATAATACATGTTCGGTGAAATAACGTTCACTATTATTATAAAATAAAAAGAAAAGCATAGAAGTATTCCTTGATTATTTTAGAGCTGTTTCTTGGTAGCGTTACTATTTAATCATTATTGACCCTTCAGTTACATTCTTCTCCTGATTTCACTTTGAGAATTTTTCTTCCATTTATTTACTCAGAGTTCATTATTAAGTAAAGACAAATTAAACCACCACCTCCTCTCATTTGCCAATTAACTTCCAGTGCAGCTATCACCTTCCTACTAGTCCACGGTGTATACGGTTAAAATCGGGCCCATCCGATTCTATGATTAATCGATACCAGGGGGTGGATCGAGGATCGGCCCCGTAGTATATCAGACCGAGACATGAGGATAAGGTACTAACCTCGGGATTCGAAGTATCTATCAAGATCGAGACCGGAAATGATCGAGACCAAACGGGATAGACATCGAGCAAGACCGAAGATAGCATAATAACGGAAAGGCGAGATATCCGTGACTGGTCGAGAATCATGGCGGAAATCCCGAAACGGATCAAATCAAGTACGGTTGTTTAACTGATCATGTGATTTTCTTCTGTAATTAGAATTGTAATTTCTCTACTATATAGGGGGGGGGGGGTTTCTAATCATTTGGAACCATCTTACATTCACGCATATCAAAGGAATATATCACACTTTTATCTCTTGCAAGCTCCGTTATCCAGTTCATACCTTCAATAGCTTGTTCAGTTGTTTCGAGGGCAATAAGCTCAAGGGCCATAATTGTTCATCACATTGGTTTGCTTTGTTTTACTGTTAATTCCTAGCATTAATTATTATATTTATCAGTTTGTGCCAAGTGAAATCGAATATCCTTAAAACCACTTATAAATTTAATTGTTATCCGATTTTAAGGGTAAACAGTTTGGCGCCACCGTGGGGCTAAGGATAATAGTGATTGTCTGATACAATTTTCGTAACACACATTATTTTACGCTTGTTCTTTGAAGTGTCTTTGATTTCAGGATCAACATGTCAAACTCTCAAGCAGCACCCGCACACACGGACAACGGCTTTGGCCTTCATGGCGAGAACGAAAACATAGCCGCCCCGGGAAATGGAGTACTTCCAGTTAACCCCGATGGAGCTCCGGCCGTCGATCTAATCGACGTCAGCTCCCATATTGCCATTAATGGGAATTTGGGCGTCGACCCTGGGAATAGCGTCCGCAGAGACGCTCCAACAGCCGATCAGAACGCATAGAGCGGTGAAGAAGGCGGAATTAGCCTTTGAATGATATTCGAGATATTGTAGACTCAACAAGCTGCTATAGCACAACTCCAAAATCAGAATCGTGCACCAAGCAGGATTGAGCTCGAGTCATCACAAGAAGTTGTTCATAGAGCCGAATCTGTGCCAAAGAGATCAAATGAAGGAGAATCGAAGACTAATCCCGCTATCGTAAAAATACTTGAGGAACTGACGAAGCGAATCGAGACAGGGGAAAAGAAGATCGAGGAAAATGATAAGAAGGTGGAAACTTATAACTCCAGGGTCGACCGAATCCCAAGGGCACCACCGGTATTGAAAGGACTGTCACACCTCCTTTTTTCACTTACTACACCCCCGGAAGGGTATAATAAAAGGAGTTTTTCCAATTAAAGGACAATCGAAACGAGATTCATTTTTTAAGAGATTCAGAGTCGCCACTTGGGAGATTTATGGTGTCCCAAGTCACCGGTTTGAATCCCGAATCGAGGAAAAGGTTTGACTCTGTTTAACAGTCGCGAACCAGAAATCCGAGTAAGGAATTCTGTTAACCCGGGAGAAGGTGTTAGGCACTCCCGAGTTCCGTGGTTCTAGCACGGTCGCTCAACTGCTATATTTGGCTAAGGTCTGATTTTAATACATGTCATCCTATAGTGCAATTTTAAAATTGTTTAACCGCCTTTAATTAGTTTTTTTATGAAAGTGAACGCTGTTTAAGAGCGCGTTTTTGGATCGCGTCACATGAAATGCACCCGGATCCTCAACACCTCTTATTCAACGTTTTGGGATTTGGATTTGAGTCACATAAATGTGCACTCGTATTTAAGAAGGTAAAATTATTAAAAGCGCACCTAAAGTGGCTAGCGTCTTATTAACTTTGGGGAGGACCGTGAAATTTGCTAAACGGCCCATCCCGAAATCTAAAATATTTTTAATAAGCATTTAATGAGGGCCCCGCAATTTATGCATTTTTATTTGGCGAGGCTCATCTCGTTTTTTATTTAAAAGGGCAAATCCTAAAGCAATTATGTTTCTTCTCTACTTATTTTTGTCTCTAATCGGGCCTAATTAATGCGCATTTATAAATTCGGGCCTCAAGTTCAAGTTCGAATTCAAACAAAAGGGAAGACCCTCTTAATTTGAACCCGCCACCTAATTTGAAACCCAAATTTATACTTGTGAATTAATTTCCCATATTCCTAGGTAATTTTGAAGTGCTTTCGATTTATGGCAGTCTTGGGCCTAATAGATTTGGCCCAGGTCTGCTCAAACAGAGACCGTCCAAAGGGCTAGGCTAGGGTGCAAGCCCAAAATTTAGAACACAAAAACCAGCTTGTACTTAGTAGACTGCCCAGGGCCTATTGCATTTAGCTGGGCCGATGCTGGCCCATTTCCGTCATGGTTCAAAGGAGCGAACTAATGTTGGCTCATTGTCACTAGGCAGCACTTTCACATTTAAACAAACCTATGCATTTAATATCCTGGTCATTTATTCCAGGTTTAGCACCTGTTAATTAACCTGTCAGCTTTTAAATCTGCACTTACTAATATGAGTAGATGAATGACATGTAGTTAATAACACATGGACACTTGATATTGGAAATTAGCATTCAAATCACACACAATATCCAATCCGTTTCTTAAGCTATTAATTAGTACGAAAGCTGGGAGAAATTTACTGTTTAGTCAAAGGCTAAGGATTGAATTGAACACTCGATAAGGCTATACTTATGGAAACTCCATTTTTCGCTAATTCAACATTTAAAATCATTTCAGGATGATCATATAACTCGAATGCTTTAACAGGCATGCGAACTACCTACCTACATATGAAGTGTGATCTTTTATGTTTTTGTGATTCAAGTGCTGCAATCTTAAGCTACACTAAACAATCCAATAATCCTAATTTATGCAGCTATCTATTACTATTCACAATCTCACATAGTCTATGATCAAAGCTAGTATTAGAGTCCAATTATACAATCCGTATATTACATTGTTCAGATAGTACAAAATCAAACAGTTAACATTCACTCGCATCTAATTAACTACAAACAACAGTAAGTATTCAACAACTGCAGATCTGATGAACACTTGTATGCCAACTTCAATTCAAGCTACATCACGTGAATTCGAAAGCATGTACCTGGCAATTGAAATGAAACAGGAAGATAGGAGGATCAGCGGCAAATCAAACAGTTAGCAGGGTCGACTAGCAAATTTACAGCTTCAGAACAACCACAGCAGTCACTTTAAATTTTTGAAATCCCAGCAATGAAGTACCAGCCAACAAACCCCCAAAATATCGACCAAATGACCCTATTTCTACTTGAAATCACTTCAGAACTCTTTAACAAACTTCAGCAATCAAATTTAAACTAACTCATGCTAAATCCAACCCTACAACTTGGAAGTGAATTCCGAAATTTTAATAGCACTGTATTTTTTTTTTTGATTTTTCAGCTATTTTTCCTGTTTTTTGGGTTTTTTGTTATTTGAAGATCTAGATCTAGAGAAATTTGAATTTGAAATTCAGA